AACTAATTTCATTAACTGCTGAACTAAACTATTCATTTTGATATGCATCTATAAAGTAACGAAAAGTAAACTGGATATGATCGAAGTAAGAATGAAAATCATCACATGAGTACTCCTCCTTAAGTGAGCAACTAAGAAGTGAGATGTCGCTGAAATCTACTTACTGACTGTAGCTACTAGTTTCGAGATTCACTGCTTCTGAGAACATTCACATGTATTTTCACCTTAATGTTTCGATTTCATTGATTATTACCAACAGAATTACACATATTGAGAGACCGTAGTCCACTTTTATTCTCAAATTGATTCCACTCCACATGAAATGACTTTTGTCACATAATCTTCGTATTTTGTATGTTGTTCTCATGTGGTTTTTTGTATGCACGTATTTATGTAACACAGGGTAATAGTAAGTACACTTAGTTATCTTCGAGTTCTTTCATTTCCAATAAACTATCTTCCTACTTCTAGAAGGCTATTACCTGAATAACGATGCATATTTCAAATGAAGAAATTAATTCGAGTTAAAATGATGGAGTTGATTCGTAGCTTATTTGGAGGTTTTTATAACATGACTACGTTCTCTGCACTTAATGATTTAATTGAGAAGCCATTACTGAACTTACAGAAAACGTCATCTGAGTTGAAGCCAGTAGGTGTCTCATGTATCTGTCTCTATTGATTGAAATGAATAATGGGATGAAAACAGTCATTGTTATCGGCGAATTTCTCTAAAGAAATATCCTTTCAGGAATTCGAATGCCCCAGATGGACTGACATTTTATCTTCATCCGAAGACTTTTCTACAACCAGTGCACAGCACTACCAGTAGACACATCTTCAGCAGTGAACACTATTGTGGATTATAATAATAATTTGTACTAGTGAACTTTAACTGTATAACTAGGGAACTGAATAATTCAAATAACTAATTCTGTATTTTTTATAACACACTGTTATTCTGTCATCTCATAAACTTGGATTTGTATTCAAATACCTGTTCTGTTACTGAGCTCGCTAGAAATTCCCCTACAGAGGATACTGTCAACCTTAGAATGCTTCATCCAACTTTGAATACTTCAGTGCTACCTTGTAAATGCCGTCTGTTAGTATGCGTTCGTACATTCCACCTCTTCGATCACACCAAAATTCACGTTACGTCAAAGCGATATGAAATTTATCTCAAACCCACTCTTCTGTGAGTGGTAAATTGATTAAAATTCACATGTTTCGACATGGTTTCATCAACCACAGTGTTTATTTAGTAACAACTTACTAATCAACTTACTTGATATGTGAATACTTCTTCACAGTTTTACAACTCCAATCATCTGGAAAGTGTTCGTGAATATCAGTGAGAAAGTTACACATATTGGAAAGATATAGGTCAGCAAAGAGTGCTGTTTCTGTAAATTATCATTAAAGCTGTACTGTCGGATTAGATTTGCTAAAGGTCCCTGGAAATACTCCTGTGACGCTAGAGGCGCATTCCTTTTATTTTGATTTGTGTAATGTGACTTCTGGAGTATTTTCATGATCTGAATTGTAGCAGATTTATGACAGATCTCTTTCATTTCTTTTCTTGAACTCCTAACCTTTTATTTAAAATTTTGTGTAGCTCAGGTGGATGATTTTGATATGGTTGTGTTCTCTGAGCTGGAAAGTTAATTTGCGAAGCTTTCATCGCCCTACTAGGCGACATCTTCAGCACACACTTCACTTTGAAGATTCGCAAATTAACTATCCAGCTCAGAGAACACAACCATATCAAAATTTTGTGTATATGCCCAGCATATTTATATTGTAAATAATATTCTTCTCTTCAAGCATCAATCTTTCAATAATCATTTCAAAACACTATTTGTCAATGAACTTTTCGGAATAGGCAAGATTATACAAATCAGGTTTCACGGTTTATCAATTCTTCATCTGACATACAGTTCAGTATATTTTATTTCTGTTTGTAATTCATGCAGGATTTCCACTGACGTTTTCCCTAACCTCTCAGAAACACCAGAAAGTAGTGAGCTACTACGGTGAAAAATAACGGATCATTTTATGAAGACAAGTGTCAATTACCACCCTCAATGTGCCCGTTATAATCAACTTATATAGTCGTCATTTTGTTTGCTCTATTTGACAGTATATTTCTACACTTTTCTTTAAAGTGAAATGGTAGATAGTTGTGTAAACAAACTGTTCGAAAACTGTTTTGCATATTCATCACATTTCTCAAGATGAACTTCGTCTTCTAGTAACGCTATTCTAATTTATTAAACAGAATTATTGTTTTCAGAGTGTTATTTGATAATGTAAATAAGGACACATTTCGATACATATTATACTTCAAACACCAAATTCAAAAACATTAGAGATGGAATATAGATTCAATGAATTATTCAAACATGTATGACGAAGTTCAAGATGCGTGAAATTTTGAAATGAATCATGTTTTTGTTAATGTTATAACTTGTAATTTATTTGTGGTATGATCTGCAGAATAATAAGTACAAAGTCAAGTGAAATAAATTTACGCTTAAAAAGAAAAACAAATTCTTAAAATCATAAGTAAGATGAGTAAAAGGTTTCTGTTAGACAATTAAGTCAAGTTGTAATTTTCATTATTCACTCCTTTACGTGCATGACTCAATCGCACTCTACTCTCTGTCTTCACATCTCAGTGACTCATCAACTGCACACTAGTATTCATTGCTACTTCACAAAATATCCATGTCATCCTTGTATTTCTAGCTCACCAATTCCCATTTAAGTTCCATTCAATGGCAATGTGACGTCTCTCAAGGATCTCCTCAGAGTTTGGCGGTGCCTGTATATTTTGTTCATGGCTAGTTTACCGAACTCCTAGAGTCACTTATCGCCCACCATTTCCAACCATTCATCTCTTCTTTAATACACGCATTCGTTGATAAAAGTGTGGTAGGGTGTTCAGAATGCCTCCGGTAAAGCGAACCTAAATCTCCGATTCATATGGAAACACATACTGAATTGGAATTAGGGTCAAAAGTCTAGTGATTCACTTTGTGTTGGATACTGCAGATCTGAACACAGTAGCAAACTCCTTCTTCCCTTAGCCTACTAGGTTCTTGACGGTATCGACATCTTCAACTTCGCTGCCTGCCTTTTTCTGAAACTATGTCGCTTAGATCATGTGAGTGAAAAAGACGAATTCCGTCAGATTTCTCTCAGTGGTGGTGATTGATGTTTGTTGTTCTTCGTGTATTCCTATCAGTTCTGTATTCTTTGCTTTCATCTGAAGTCCTATCTTGCCTGCTGCTTCTCACAAGCTGATGCTGTGGCACATAATTCCATATTTTTCTTGTTTTTCATATATCTGAATTAAACATCGTCATAATTATCTCTTCGGTGGCATGCGTTTTGTTGTGATTCGATAAACAAGGATTCGGAGGTTAACCCCTATTTTTAAACCTAGTTTTGTTCATCGAATCAAAACGAAACATGTGCAGTCGAGATGATGCATTATCTATGCTAGATATATGAAAAACTGTCATGGATAAGACAATATCAAGCAAGTTAGAATGTTATATGAATACAGTGATACGATTACAAGCAAGAATATGCGCTGGAAATGTCATCCGATTACTATAAAGGTGTCACTGTGTTTTATTAAATAAACCCACCCAACATCAGGTAGAACATGTCTGACCCTTGTGGTGAGTACAGAAGTAATGCAAGATGGCTCATTATCACCGATCATATTTCTAATTGTTATAGGACACACTGTAGATGGGGAGCAAGAAGACAGGAATAGGCTTCACCGATCGGAAGACTCTGGAAGATCTGGATTTCGCTAATGTTTATGTTACACGAAATCGAACACTTGCAGGCGGAAACAAACACACTGGCAGTCATAGAAGATGGCACTCAATGTGAACATGAGAAGATGGAGGTGATGCAGATAACCAACTGACAGCAACAATAATTGGCACCAATAACCAGCCTTGAGGAGAATTTGAAAGGGGTTACTTCCTTCACTTATCTAGACGGTAAGCATTGTTTCAGCCACAGGCATTCAGAACGGATGAAGACGACAAAACTAGTCGAAAAGGCAAGATAAGCCTCCATCAATCTGAAATCAACTTGGAAATCTTCTGCACTCAGCCAGCATAGAGAACAAGATTGGGATTTACAGCACCAATGGCAAGTCAGTCAGCTCTTATAAACAGGTCAGAAACTTATACTGCATTTCCAACAGGTAGCAGGATTTTATCAACAGCTGACTTCGCTGGCTGCCTACTGAAGATCTAATGGCCGGTCAGAAAGAATTAGCAGCAAGAAACTCTGTCAACAAACCAGTCGAGAGCCAATTGCTAAATAAATATGCAGAAGAAAATGTAGGTGGAATGGGCATAGGCTGAGGAGGCCATCGAATGAAAGGCTATATTTAATAATTTCTAAGTGAAAAGCTTGAAGACGAATTTATTGGAAATATCTGTTCGCTCAGATATACTTTTCTTTAAATATTCCGAGGGAATTTTGGAATTATGCAAACTAAATACCTTTTCAAACAAGTCAGTCATACATTTATAGTGTATATTTTGTTATTAATAAAGCATGCTTATTTCAAACCGTTAAGAGTGAACTTGGTTTGGACATATATAACATGCTTATATTTACCAGGATTTAAGGAAATACCGTGTAATAATATAGCAACAACAATCAAAACCACAGTGATCACCAATCAGAAATTTCATCATCACGAGCATGTCAATATATATAAAAGTGTGTATATTTAAATAGAAAGACATCATCGACGATTTTGATTCTCCTTATAATATTCACTGCAATGAACCTGATCATATTTCTCATCTGTTTATATCCGGTTAATGCTGAGATTATCAAAATACCATTGCATCCAGTGACTGGAATCAGTTCAATGCTAAACCCGTATCGAAAACTGTTCAGGCTATTACAAAGAAGCTGGGCAAATTTACTGAATGGCGGAGCTACACCAACATCAGAACACCTGTACAATTATCAAAATGTAAGTGTGACAGGTTAAATGTCAGTTTTCATACATTTGGTTTCCTTGATAAATTTCGATAAAGAATGTAGGAGAGACGAGATTTGCAGCATGAAATGGTATCATCATTCTACTTCACAGGTATTTATTAGCAGAAATCTCTCTGAAATCGCAGTGTTGATGAATAATGACAATAACAAGAACTTCACTGTTTGAATGGTAGTAGAGAAAACATCCTAAAATCAACGCATCCTACAAATGTAAGCATTTTAATTGGCTGTAGTTCAAGTTACCATCAGTTTATACGCTTTCAAAATAGAAAAAGAGGTGGTTGGGGGTTGGGGAAGAAGATAGAAAGCAGAAAATTATAATATGCAGTGTTGGCTTGTAGGTCTAAATAGTAACTTAAGAAGATAATAGTTCATAAAATTGGAAACTTGATCAGTGAGCTGAAACCACTAGAACGAATGACTAATCAATGCAATCAGAATGCAGTAAGCGAGAGAGTGACAGGTCGATTACACTCTCTTTTTTCTGTTTGCTTAAAACTGATTGCAAACGCTTGATGCAATCGCTTCAGCAAATCGTACTAAATTTGTTGTCCTTTCTATGCTTATTATTATGAAGGATTTGGAAATTTGGACGGAATGAACTGTATCCACAAGGCGTCTGATGATCGAACCTCTGAATACTTGCCTTAGTCAAGGCAAACGTCTGTTGGAATAATCTCTAAAAACCCTATAGAAGTCGAGTTTGGATTGGCTTACGGTGCTGAATAGCGATAGCAGCTTAGCTGCCCGAAGGATGCATTTTCATTCCCCCTTTTCTTCTCTTGTCAATCATTTGTGATACTGCCTCTCCTCTGAATGGGAGACAAATGAACACTTTCTTCTCCCAACAGTTGGATGTTTCGTTTCCTCACCCCTCCCTTTGCCGTACTTTTGGACACATCCACAAAGCAATCTAGTAAATTGGATGGTGTTCAGTGGAATGTAGACGATGAAATACTGAACATTTATAGTTAGTGTACTTCTAAGTACCAAATATTTGCCTTTTCCTAATGGGCACGTTGGTGTTTAATCACGTTATAATCATAATATTCTTTTAAGATTCAGTACTACGGAGAAGTGCTTGTAGGAACTCCACCACAAACGTTTCGTGTACTCTTCGACACAGGATCAACCGACACCTGGTTTCCATCAAGAAAATGTTGGTTTCTGGACATTCCCTGTTGGTTCATTCGATTTTATGACAGTTCGAAGTCATCTACTTATCAGCGGAATGGCACAAGTTTTGAAGTCGATTATATGGACAGTTCTTTCTATGGATTTTGGAGCATGGATACAATACAGGTAATGTGTTCGTATGACTCGAAGCGACAGTGATTTTAGATAAACTCTTTAGTTGTTCGCAATCAGGCGTTTGCAGAAGTCACTGATATATTTTTCAGCCGTGTCGGGTGTCACCTTTCTTCGATGTTTTGTGTTTCGTTGCCTATTGTTCAATTGTGACGAATAAGTGGAAGTCGAATATTATTTCCTCTTGTGACAAGTATACGGTAAATTGAATTTCAAATCCGACTTGAATGAACTAGCCAGCTGATACATCCACATAGCTTAATAAAAATAACAGCTTCATTGTGCACAAATGTTTACAAAATATACCCCATTTTCAGTATAGTTTAGTGCAAAACTTTTCATTTTCGTACATGCCTGCTTTTTGACTGTCAATGTTTATTGCCGGAATCCTCTAAGTGCTGAATTTTTCTTTGAAAATTGCTAAAAACATGCTGTGTATGGCCAGCTTTTTGTGTGTCTGTCTCACGTACTCCGAATCCATGGAACACTAGTGATGTTTCTCTCTCAAGAACCAGATGAATAAATGAATGCTTGTGTCATGGGCAGTCACAAGATTGCAGCCATTCACACATTTTCATATTCACACAGTCTTGCTCATTCATCATCCGTCTTCATCTTGATAATTTCTTTCTTGATTTGACATTATTGTTCAGATTTGTGATCCTCTCATCTTGAAACTGTGATCATAGCAGGCAAAATGAAACAGGGAAACGTAGATCTGAGTCCCATGAATTCACTATTCACAGCTGATAATTAAAGTGATGGGGTCTGAACATTATTCCAAATAGGCAAATAAGTCTCACAAGTTGAAATTCTGGTATTTCAGACACTGAGACAATAACAGCTTCATTGAGTGCAAAATGTTCACACAGTATTCAGAATATGTAGCATAGTCTATCGTGTATTGTTTCCTCTTCGTGCGACATCTTCCAGCAAAATAGCAATCTAAGGTACAGCATGTGATACAGTGCTGGTCGATCTGAAGAATGAAATAATCCCTCATGGTAATTTACCCTCGTCATGCGAAGATACTTAGGAGTAGATTGAAAGCCAATTATAATTGTGCGTGAATGCATTCGGAAGCTCAGGGACAAAAGTGAATGGTTGAATTAAGGAGAAATATAGAAAATTGTATGCATTGTGTGGGATGAAAGTTCAGGTAGTTCAGCAATTCAAACAATTCACTGTTCACACATTCAAATTAATCCTAATTTGCTAACATGCTCAATCAATAATATTTACTCCACTGATTTCAAAAGATTATTTGAATAGTCCCTGTACATTGTTGGTGTAATGGTGCTATCCATCTCTGCAGTGAAGTATGCGAGGATGACGAAAAATCTTGCAAATCATTGATGCATTTCTGAAATCCACCAAGTCGAAATCATTGATTGTAGTTCGGGAGATGTAAAAGATTAGATCTTTCGAGAGATGTATAAATTATTTCTCAGAAACACACCAAATGTGGTCTATTTGCGTCTAAGTACATCTTTCAACCAGGGTTGATATGCTTAACATGAATGCATATCGCGGATATCTTCAGTTTCCCACGAAGTAAATCAATTAGTGACTATCTGCCACAATCATGTTTAGCTAAACATTGTCTCTGGCTGGCAATAATTTAGAGCATAACCGGATGTGAAGGTATCACCTGGGAACCTGATAACTACTGCGATGCCATCAATGGATGTCCTTTGTAGCGATTATTGTTATTATTATTACAATGATTTGTCAGAAATGCGCTGACGATAGTAACCAGGAGAAGTTGCATTTCTCTAGAATACACAGATAATATAGCCTGTTTTAATTAGGATGCGAACAATTGCAGTCTTCTAGACAAACTGAGTGCAAATATGAGAACTTTAGGTATGAGTTTCACTACAGTCAGCTGTGAAGTGGTGTCACTCGAAAGAGTAGAGAGTGGATTCACGAAACTTAGTTATGTATGGCATTCGTCTACTTTTGAAAGAGAGTGTGTTGTGTGAAGTAGTTTTCTCTGCTAGACTGTAAAAATGTAGATGACATGATCTGTTCAAAACTCTGTGTATACACCTAACATGTTCGTGTAGTGTATTATATTCCTCCCTCCATGCAGTCATTTTCAGTAATTATTTCTAACAGCAATTTATCAAACAACGTTTCGGAATACACAAGATGATGCGAAACCATTCCACGATTTACTGAAATTTCTTGTGATATAAAGTTGAAAAACATTTTCAGCTGAGTGCCATTAATGTATGACATCCATTTGTGCTGAACCACGGCCACTTCGAAATACTGTGAAATGGTTATCTACTATAATGAGTCTTCGCTGATTACATGATTAAGATTAGTGTGAATTCTCATCCACCATACACTAATCAGCAATATTACCTCATATTTTTAATATTTCGCTCAGTCTTTCGATAGTACATTTTCATGTAAATGAAACGACACACAGTTGTGATAACAAATTATACGATGTGATTCACAAACACATCACATTCTTCAAGATGAACTTCACCTTCTAGTAACGCGATTCTAATTTAATAAACAGAATTATCGTTTTAGCGTGTTATCTGTTAATGTGGTAGTGTTAGAAAATTACATTACATTAAACTTTACAAGATGGACTTCGGATCACAACTGCGCTATTCTAATATAATATACAGATTTACTGTTTTGATTTTGTCATGTGTCAATGTGTAAGTGTACAACTTGTGATACACACGATCCTTCACAAACTGCATTGAAAAAAGTCAGAGATGAAATAAAGATTTCAGTGAATTGTTCAACAATTTATCGCAAAGTTCGAAATACTTGAAATTTTGAAATGAATCATTTTTTGTTCATGTTATAACTTGTAATTCACATGTGGTATGATCTCTACTATACGAGGGACAAAGTCAAGTCAAACAAATTTACACTTCACATTTATCGTTATCGTGAAATATTAAATGAGATGAACACTCTGTTCAGGTTTGCATACTTCTTTTACTGTGTACTACTAATACAAAATAATAAAATCAAAACGTGTAGTTCAGCGAAGAGGCTCTTTTTGGCGAATTCAGTCTCTCTAGCTGTACAGTCGCAATTATTCACAATTTTTCCTGAGAGAGGGTGGTGACGAAAGCGATGAGTTGTCTTCATGATAGGTGTTGATATTATTCAATGCATATGAGGAGTTGAATAAGTGTCTTGGAGTTACTTAATGAGGTGAATAATAATTCAATGAATGAATAGTAATCAGAATGCGCATAGAAACGAAGGAAAGTATGCAACTATTTCAGTAATAATAATAATAGTAGCTTCATTCTGCACACTGTTTATATATTGTACAGGATTTCCACTAGAGTTTATTCTATGATAATCTCCCCTTGTCCAGGATGTCCAGATGAAATATTAATTGACAGTGGATCGTGTGGCACAGTGCTATTCAACCTGATGCGAAAACCGATCCATTATGATATGTCTTCTTTGTCTCCTTCGTGAAATGCATCACATTTGATTGAATGACAATTATAAAATTTTTTAGGAGTACATTTTGCCACTTAAAGACAGAACTCAGGCACAGTTATCACGTATATTGTGATAGGCTTCCACCCACGATTAGTCTTTTTCTCAAGTTAAGTAGAAACGTGAGAATCAGTAGGTCGTTCACTTTTAAAATACTAGCCAGGGTGA